GAGAGAGAGAGAGAGAGAGAGAGGTGCAGCAGTCACCGACTCTGAAAACTGTTTGAATGCATTTTCTTTCTGGCCAGCTCTGCAGTAATTCACTGCTCATTTTTGCCAACATTCCAGTGAGGAGGGGGTCTTAGAGAGAATGCGTGTTTGGTAGTTGCTTGTGTTTGCTCAAGAAATGATAGACATCTTATTATTTCCTGATGTTGGCAGCACTTTCCCATTTGGGAAAGAGAGAATGAGAGGGGGAGGGAGATGGAGGAAAACAGGGGAGTGCTGGGGGCCATGAAGACATGCTTCAAGTTTTGAGTCAGATTGATTCTTACACAGATAGTAGTCAATTTCAGTCTTGTAGTCTTTAAAAGGCTAATTAAAAACAAAGCTTTCTGTTCCACACCACGAGGCCTTATCCAGTAAAGCAGGATTTAGTTTTTATTCTCTCTAATTCTCTAAAAAAAAAACTAGGTAGTCATCTGATCCTGCTTGAAAAACATTCATGATAATCCATCTAATCAAAGATTTCCTCTCTCCTTATTTCCTTCTCTCTTCTCCCAGAGGCCAAGTCATGTGAGGATATCCAGTGCAGCGCGGGAAAGAAGTGTCTGTGGGATGCTCGGATGGGCCGAGGCCGTTGCTCATTGTGCGATGAGTCCTGTCCGGAGAGTAGGACAGATGAGGCGGTGTGTGCCAGCGACAACACCACATATCCCAGTGAATGTGCCATGAAGCAAGCTGCTTGCTCAATGGGGGTGCTGCTTGAAGTCAAACACTTAGGATCTTGCAACTGTAAGTAAATTACAAAAGCAAAATATAAAAAGAAAAGAAAGAAACAAAATCCTCCCCTCCTTCTCTGAGCAAAAGACAATATTCTATGTTGCTTTCCCAACAAAAACCTCCCGTGAAATTGCCCCCCACCTTCCACCTACCCTGATTTTCCCTGAGCTCCTACCCCGGCCACATCACCAACCACAGCTTAAGCAAGCAGAAAAGACTTGGGGAATGGAAGAAGTTGCATGACATTGTCCTCGTTGCTGGCTTTTGTTCTCGTGTTTAATTTTCGTTTTGTTTTCACGTTTTCCCAATTCTGCAAATCCTGCTAACAGAAAGATGCGTGAAAAACTTATATCAGCAAACTGTTTGCAGTGGATCTATACTTTCTGAGAAAATAGGTGTGTCTATGGTCATGCTAGTGACCTGCGGGAGCAGGTTGCCTTAAATCCCATGCAGTATTTTTTCAGTCATTAATGGTTTAATGTCCAAATCTTTACAGCTTGTAAATTCCATGGTCACATTGTTAATTCCCTGGAAATGGTCTATTTTCTTTATTTTTTATTTTTTGTTTTTGGCTATAATCAATTTATTCAAAATGCACTGACTCTTGTGACATAAACCACACTGCCAACACGTCAGTTAAAAAAAGAATATGTTTAAACAGACGTATGACGTGCATAAGGTGATTGTAACATTGGTACCATTGATAACAATGATGGATTTGTACACTACGATTCATGTAAACTGCCTGTCATAGACCAGTGTGAGCCATTTATAAACCCACAAGTCTCCAGACAAAATACTAAATTTAACAACAGCTTTGAGGTAGTTTCAAATTGACATTCCAAATTTCTATTTAGAAGGTTGTTTGTTTGTTTTTCCTAACTGGCTTAATATAATGTGATTAAGGTTTGCAATGAAGTCCAAGGGACCAACTTTATGATCACCTCATGGGCTAAAAGTCATAATTTACAGTGTGCAGATTGAGCATAAGCTTGTTGATCCCCACTCCCTTACTTCCCATCCCATCATCAGAAAAACGTTCATTAGCTAACTCATTCATACCGCTTCCAGTGACTGTGTCGTGTATCAAAAATCCTTTTGGATTAATGAGGGACTACCTGTGTTTTCATGTATCGTTGCCCTTGTGCTTGCTTGTGTGCTTTTTTATGTGTCCAATGTAAATCTCTTGTGTAAAAAGAAAAAGAATATACCTCAGAACTGTGCTAACGATCTCTGACCTGCTTGCTAAGGTCAGGCTGTGACACAGAGTCCTCCCTCCCTGTTCGTTTGAGCCAGATGCTAAAATATTAGTAATCAGAGAAAAGAAACTATAGCGAGTCCAAGAACACAAAAGCACTTTTCTGTGTTATGTGTGTCTGCTTTCAGGAATCTGCTCAAAAGAGACCTGAGCCACTGGAACCATCATCCCCAGTGCCCCTAAACCCGCTTCCCATCCTCCCCTTAACCCACCTTGTGACCTTCCCCTAACCTCCAACTTGCCGATCCTTTCCATTGTCGCTCCTTTTTCTCATGTTGCAGCCCTGACTTGCTCGATTATGTAAATGGACATTGTATAATTAATTGGGGATGCCACAGCAACTGCTGCTGCCAAGTCACACAGACTCTTCCTTACACAAACATAATCATATACACAAAAGAAAGAAACAGAAAGGCGGCTGTGTGCCAGTGGCTTAATTGTGAGATTTATTTTTTTGACAGTGATATTCTGCGCTGTTGTGGTCCATATTCATACAACAGCTACCATATATTCTCCCATATAGCCATTACAGAAGACCAGGAGGAGGATGAGGAAGATGACGACTCAGACTACATGGCCTATGTCCATTTATCTTCTATACTGGATGGATAGGCTCACATCACTAGGGGAACAGTCCTAGGGCAAGGAATCATGTCCATACTGTACATTATGTGTATGCTTATTTATTTTTTAAAGAAAAAGGAAGTATACATATAGTTCAGTCTGCTAGATGTTTATTTATACTTTTTGTGTTTTATAAATTATACATTTACATTGTCAGGCTATCACCTACCATGATATATTGTGTTACCACTCATTTCCCTTTTTTCTTGTTGTCCCTTTTACTTTCTTTTTTTATCATGAAGAAATATATTTGTCCAAAGAAAAGCAGTGTTATTTATTTTTCATGGTACCGTGTAAGTATAAGTCCTCTTCAAGCTGTAAATTGCATTCCCTGAGCTGTAAAAAATCTGCTTGTTTCTGTCAAATCTCTATCACAGATGTTTATGTCACACATACATAAATGCATGTTTAGGCTGTGTGTTTATTTATTGGGAAATATATCAATCATTTTATGTACAGAAGTGTGTCTGGTTTGTTTACAACTATAATTACTGACCAAAGGGATTCTCTCAATGGTTTTGCAAAAGAGCACTGTAAATGGTGCAACACAGCAGTGATGGAATAGAAAAGAAAAAAAAGAGCCATTTAGTTTTTTCTTTTCTTAGTTTTAAGTTTCCTTCAGTTTTAGCCCTTTAGGTTTGTTTCCACATGGAGACTGTAGACATAATTAAATATAGCTTTTATTTTGTCTCACTACATTAGAGGTAAGTTTGGGCGATACTTGATTACTTTGGAAACAATGTGCCATTAACATTTGTGAGCTGTCTTCTTGCCAATGTACTCCGTACTGCTCTCACAGAGCTACACTAGGACTAACATACTGCAATACTCTACACTATATCTGACTTCTTCACTTTGTTTCTTTTTATTTGGTTTTTTTTTCTCCTCAGAATGCATTTTTTTTGTTTTCAAACATCACAAGAGAAATACAAAATTCTGTTATGAATATATAGTTTTGTATTTTTTATGTAAATGTCATATGTACATACAAAGTTTGATGGTATTTGTACAGATATGAAGAGTGAATCAATAAAAGTTTTTTTTCCTTATACTTTTATCTGACTCTGGTGAATTATATATTAGTGAAAAACATATGTCTAAATCTATCATAGCTTCAATGCAAGCGTTTACTTTAAAGAATAAAAGACTGGACATCAATCAGATCAAATTAAACCATACATTTTATAGGCTTAGTCTATTTTGATGGCCATCACTTCACATCATTGTCATGAGATATTTTATTCATTTGGACTGGCTAAAACTTGAGCTATAAACAATTTCTAAACTTAAAAATGATTTGCTAAAAATGTTTATTCATACATATCAGTAAAACTACATTACCTTTACCCAGGGGATTTTATCTGCATTTCCTGTTACTGAATGTTCCAAAAAACCACGTTGCGAATATACAAATGAATTTACATGGTGTACTACACAATATTGATATTGTGCAATACACAATGTAAAGTATATACACGTATTAAACATATGTTTTAAGAAACAAATTGCTCCGTTTTTTAAGCTGTCATCAGACAAAGCATAAGAAAACGGGCAGAAAAAAGACAAACATATAAACTTCAGTGAGTAGACATGAAGCACAAGCAAATTGAAATTCTTCTCAGCGTGCGGGGTTTCCTTCTATTTACACCAAAATAATTGTTCTTTGTTATATAAGAGAGCACTGGCGTAAGTAGATGTCTGGGCGTCCCTTGGTGTGCTATGTGACACATCCAAAAATTCGGTTGGCAAAGTCCTTCATGTACCAGCTGTCTCCGCCACCCGCGCGTACTGTTTGTTCCTTTGCGGTTACCGTACGTCATCGTTGACAACAATCATGGCGTCCTCAATGTCACTTCTCGGATTGGGACGTTTGTCTGCTTTTAATGCAGCTTCTAAAATGTTCTTGAATCCTATCAGGTAATTTCATATTAATTGTTTATCAGGTTTCTGTTCGCACTTGATACTCTGAGCTGAGTTTGTTTGAATTATTTAACTCCCAAGTCGACTACAGCACAGAAGCCGTGCGTCTGTTAGCTTGTCAGCGGCAGAGCACTTTAATGAAGATTTTTCTTTTTCTCTTTTCAAAATAGAGGTTTCGCACCTAATGTGGAAGACTTTATACACTAAACAACGTCAGCGCCTGTACGCTTTTATCTTGTAGTACACTGGGCTTGTAGATAATGTCATTGTCCTTAGAGCACTTGCTTGCCCAGCTAATTGGCTAATGCTAGGGAATCTAGTTAGAAATCAGTTTAAAAGCTAACACAATTAAATGGTGCTCACTGGTCTGCACAGCACGTGCTATATACCAGACCGAGACAACTTTATTAAATAAGTGACTCAGCCGACAGCTAAGCTTACAATCAGCTGTAGGGAGCCTGGAAGCTAACAATTAGCATGAAAGTAATTCACTGCTATTGATATAATACAGTGCTTCTCTCGCAGTAACAAATCTGCCAGTTATAGTTTGAGGTGTTCATGTAGCCACCAGACCCCAACGATACTAACACAAAGAAAAGTTACCTGTGTTTGTGGAAGGATTTTAAACAAGCTGACCCCCGTGCTGCTCCACTATGTGTTTTTTGCCACTTTTTACCACACAGTTATTTGCCACAGTTAGTGGGTTTTGTGACACTTTAAAAGTGTACCTCCATATCATAGATACTTAAATACAACAATATTTTCCGCATTCATATTTCCGGTTAGTAAGGGCAGTTAAATGCGATGGTCGCTAATTGATGGCTTGCCTGGCATCCATCAGCATTTGTTTTTAACACAAGTTAACTACAAGTCTTCCTCTAAAATCTTGAATGAGAAAGAGAGGAGGCTGAGCTGGAAGTGGCAGTTGAAGATGTTGACGATCTTTAAATTAAATCCCCCTTTAGCTGAAAGAAGAAGAATATAGACTTTCAGTTGTTCATCACATTTTTAACATTTAGTCAGAGCAGAATTGATGTTGCACAACTGATTAAAAATTCATCATTGTCATTGATAAATGCCATTGGATTTTTCCATCATCAGAAATGATTCTGTAAGCCGTTACAACAGTTGACAGTTGTATTCACAGTTACTGTCTCCTTTGGGAGTTTTTAAAGAGAGAAATAATACGATGCATGCTTTTACAACTTTTATTATTCACACAATAGCATTATGTGCAGTGCATTAGCTTAGGTTATTAATAGATACCAGATTAGAATATGTAGTGTAACCATGTTGAAAATGAAATAAGAAACTTATTTTGTTTTATAGAGTCTGGAAAGATGGAGATGATAAGAAATCATTGACTTGCACAGTATTTTGTTGGCAAAATCTGAAGTAATCTAAAAGCCAGATCAGTGATTGGACAAATCACAGTATTTCCTCAGCCATGTTGATGAGGAAGCATCCTATTACCCCAAGAAACTGACAGGGATAACAGTTAAATGAAAGCCAAAGGGTGAAAAGGAAAAAGCAAATGTATACCCAGTCATCTATGCTGTGTTTTTCAGTCATTGATGGGTTTTGCTACTTTTGTCTCCCCTGCTCTCAGGTTTACCATGATTGTGTGGTTTGTTTGTTGTTGTTTTTTGTTGTTGTTGTTTAAATGTGTGATTTCTGTGTGTGGGAAGGGAAATGGTTTTACACACAGAGCTGAGCACACAGTTAAACAGATTCAGAGGTGAAGTGGGTGGATGAGGTAAAAAAGAAAGGGAAAAAACTGCCTTTTACCATGCATTAAAAAGTGTTAAATATTTAAAATCTTAAATCTAAAACAATGGGAGAACTACTCTGTTTCATTCTTAAGCCAGTTTTGGGTTTTATTTACAGACACATGATATACATTTTTATATAAATGGTCAGAAATCAAAGGAAAGTGCGCAGATTTTGGTTAAATAAGGTATAAGAATCATTGCTTTATCTGTATGTTGTCATCGCGAATACTCCAATGTGTAGTTACTCCCCAAAGCTCCTTCAATGCCAGGAAAAATGCAGATTCATGTGATTAAGCTGTGCAATGATTACACCTGAAACTATATTTGTCTCTTTTTTTTAAAAAATCTGTTTTTATTGAAAAAATCAGACCTGAGACTGTAGTGAAATCTTAACATTCATTTGAAATAAATACAAAATTATGAATATATGGAACGTGCCATTCTGTGATGGCACGTTGCCGTTTTGTGATGGGGCACGGCTGCACTTTGACAAAGAGCTTCACAGTCCTCGCCTGACAGTTGACCACAGCCAACATTAAGCACGTCCTGTCATTAGGATGAGAGCGAGAGTCTGCCAGAGATTCACCAGACAGAACTAATAAGTGGCGGGGGGGATTCCCTCCTTGTTGCTTCCTTTTCACTGTACCCCCATCCCACCGCCTCCTCCAAGATCGTCAGCATTTCCAGAGCTTAACTTGTTTGTGTAATTTCTTTGTCACTTGTGTACTTTTGGTGCTTTGTGCTAAGCTTGTAATCACAATTTAATTTTTTTCCCAGGTCTACAAGCACATCAACACTGAGACTGGCAGAGAAACCAGGACAAGACACACAGCTTATTACAGTTGATGAGAAATTGGTAAGAATTCATCCCTGCTCAATCTGAGTTGTACATTGGTGTTTGTCTGATCTTCTGTCTTCCAATTACTCTGCTGGGAAAAAAAAAAAAACGTTAAAAAATTTTGTCATCTGCTGCCAAACTGAACTTGTCCTAGACAGTAGGCTTTTGTAACAATATGACAGTGATGACGAATATCATCATTTGTAGTTCTGTTCACAGCTCTGATTATTCCTATCCTCACAGTCCTCCTAGGTTTAAATGCCAGTTCATGAAAGAAGTGACTACAACTATTTGAATGGCTGAGGAAATGGAATTTTTTCTAACAGGAGAAGTGGAGTAATATTCACGCACTGTAATGCAGTTATCTTCACTCAGTCCATTTACAATGTATAGTTTTGGGAGGGGGGGTTACATTATGAATGCCCCAATGATATAAATGTGGATACAGTAAATCATAAAAATACCTCACAGAATAGTGCAAAATTATTTTGTTAATGATAACAAAAACTATAGTCTCGGGTGCTTTCAAATACTCAGTCAAAAGATGGAGGGCACTATAGTAAAGTATTGCCATACCATGTGCAGTATATGTTTTATGTCAGCTTCCCTGCCAGTACCTCCCTGCTTGAACATTTTCCTGGGTCAGTAGTGACTGATTACTGTGATCATTAACAGTTACACATGATTTCTTTTGCTCTTTCTGAAGTTTCACAGATTCATCACTTGTTTGAGGGCTCTTTGTTTGGCATCAGCAGTTATCAGATGCTTTGCATGATAGTTTTATTGCCTCTCGTGACAGAAATATTTCATAATGCTTGGTTTGTGCTACTCTTTCAATGCAAATTTAGAACAGACAGGCCCGAGTCAGCCTGTTCTGTTGGTAGCATGTGCCCAACAAAATGATTTTGTCTAGACTTGTCGACTTCATCTACTCTGCCTTCATTCAGTAAAGTACGCAGCTGCATTAGGATAACTCCTAATGCAGCTGGGTGATAACAGAATTTTCTAAATCGATGCAGCAGAACGGTAAATGTTGTTTTCTCTGTCATACATTGACCTGCAAAGTAGGCAGTGTTATGTGCCTGTAGTGCCCAATGCTGGTTTGGGACATTTGCTGAAGTCGCTGCAAACAGTTTATCAGGACTTTTCACAGCGCTTTCTGTAACCACAAAAAGCTTCATGGAGTGGTATTATCCAAATTAGAATTTGATGTTTACACATGCACACACAAAACCAGGTTACGAGTGAAGGAAGTAATGTGTAGAAACAGTTTAGCAGCACATCTGTGTTGCAACCTCTTTCAATTTGGATTGTTAGTCAGGCAAATTAAGAAAATTTATCAGGGTTAACTTGGGCAAATGGTGAAGTCTGTTTTTGTTTTTTGTTTGTTTGGGGTTTTTTTGTAGTTTTTAAGAGCGATGAAAATGGATTTCTGGGTCCACATATGCACAAGGGCAAGAAACTGACATTTAGGATTTCTCAAATCTCTTATCATTTCTGTCTACAGTTTCTGGCCTAGTT